CTACACAATAAGCCTGCTTTGAGGATAACTAAAGGTAGCGTGCACTGAAACCCGGTACGAATTGTTTACAAGGGCAATAAATATTGCTAGTACTGGATTAGGATTCAGAGCACTCTCAGGAGTATTATCAAGTATAACGTAGCACTGAAACACTACAGGGTAAGGCAGGGTATGAAGATACTATGCATCAGGTACCGTGGGGCAACTGCAAAGACGGGCGCTTTCGCACCATGGCAAATTGCTTACTTGTGCCGCCAAAGTGTGACCGCATGGTGTTCACTGCTAGGTAACAGTTTGCACTGGGCAGTCGCCAGGGAATAAAGTGAGCACCATGAATCCATGACCGATGTTACCTCTTGGCAACTTGCTAACAGGCCTCTACTCTTCATAGAATATCCCTGCGACAGAGTCTACGTGTTGTCATTGTTTCAGTCGTTAATCTGTTACTTTTAACTAATATGGTACGGGAGGATGAACCTTTTCAGTACTCTAAAGTATCTCCCCAGTAACTCTCAGAATTACCTTATTAAATAACAAAGACATTAGAGACAATGGATTTGGAATCCTTATTGCATTTTATGTATTTAGGTAACTGCAAATGAAATAACTTCAGTCATTAGGAGATTAGGAAGTAAAATGGGGAAGGGGAAATCTAAAAGACTAAACTGCTGTGAAATTCAGATTTATAAATTAATGAGATTACTTATTACAGAGTGCATGCATTTAATTGGCTTCAGAAACAAAGGAACACATTAATTCATAAGACACATGAGGACAGTGGGGGTGTATTTTTCAAGATTAAACTCAACAAAGTTTCTGAAAAAGGTAGGCACCAAAAAAACCAATAGTATTTGGTGGGCCAAATTAAATCAAGCCATGAAAATCCTAAATAACTCATTGATGCCACTGCATCAGAACACTGCAAATTCTGAATTGCAGAAATTCATATGTAGAATTTTTACTGAATAGAGCCTTACAGTAAATGTGTTAAGCTGTTAGTGGTTAACAAAACTAAGTAAAATATAAAATGCATGCTCAGCAACTACCAAACTCACTGGCATTTATAGTTTTAATACATCCATTATCAGCAATGGACATTATGCCAGAAAAACGCAACTCCTAGATTGTAAGAATTTTTTTAAAGCTTTAAAAACAAAAGCAAAAGCAGCCTCCATAAGCAAAGTAAACAACAGAACAAAAATCAAGGTAAATATTGCAAAAGAACTGCAATGTTAGATGAAAAATATACAAAAACCCAGGAAGCAACAGAAAAGTGTGAAAGAGTCTATGTCATGAAAACAAAATGATCCTTAAAAAACAATCCAAGCAACTAAACGTGTTTCCTTTTGACTTCATGCTGGTTTACATATTTTACTAATAAGCTTTGGAACTGTCACTCATACCTAACCAGAATGAATATTGTGAAGGTGGATCAAAGAATTTATTAAAATTATCACAATCAATACATTAGGCAAAATCATGAATTATGTTAATCAAAATTAAAGAAAGAACATGTACAACAATTAACGCTACAAGAAAGTCACTAAAACAAATCCCTGATTTCTAAGTATCTTGATCTCTTTATCAATCAACTCATGTTTACAATGCTATCAACTGAAGCCACGAGTTAAAGGGACACTGTAATTTTTATTTGGAAAATATATATCACAGGCTGCAGATATAATCTCTTTTCTGGACTCCCAATTCATTTTCTATTCCTTAAATAAGCAAACAAGGAGAGAAATTTTGCACTTACTATACATTCTACCTGGAGGAGTAGACAAGCCACTTATTTTCTCACATATAATTTGCACATGAAGAATTACAGTTTGTACTTTCTCTGGCATAAATAGCATTTATTAGCAGATACTACTCCTGCAGATTTTACTCAATAAAAGTGATGGTCCCCAAGGGGGCCACATCTATTTCCAGCATTACATAGCATCACAAAAACTTACTACTAATTTTAATACTAATGGAAATTTAAGACATTTTAATTTAAAAAAAAAAAGAAAATCACAGTGTCCTTTTAAACAGCCAAGTATTCATTGTTTATTTGGCATGAGAATGCTGAGAACTTATCGGAATAAATGCTATTGATTTGCAACAATTCCTGAATTGAAAGGGATTCTTACCTTTAGATGTGACAAACAGTTCTGCAGGAAAACGTGCCAGTTATTTAAAAAAAACTGTTTCTGACTGACACACAACAGGCAGGTGATCAATGGATACAAAGCCTGAGTAGGGGGGAAAAAGAATTGATCAAATTGCTCTTTGCAGACCTCCCAAGTCTTGTACATCGAGAATGAGACACACAGTCGGTTCTTGTCTCTCACTCCCACAGTTTTAGCATTGCACGGCGGCCCTTCCCCTGCACTAGCACACGCGTGCCAGGCATGGTGCCCTGGGTACAACCTACGTGCTGTAAGAGCTCATGGTGTAAGACCAGGGCAGTGGGACCATGGTAAACTCTTCCCCTAGAGCAAGGCCTGATCCCAAAACAAAGACTGCAAGCAGATCTCCCCCTTTGCTCTTTCCTTGCAGCCACGTGATTCAATTCATGGGGTCCTACATCCCGGGAGAGGGAACTGCCTCTAAGAAGAATATTCAGGAAAAACATCATCAACTCAGTAAAAACTGAGGCAGACTTTAGGTTGTCAGAAATGTTACTTCTCCTCAAGGTCTACTTTAGTAAGGAATGAAGCACAAGCTAATAAAGTCTGTGAATATGCAGACTAGCATGACTTTGCTTTGCTTTGCTTTAGTTACATAAGATTTGTTTAAACACCACATACTTTAACAGAATACATAATGGTGATTAATACCGAATCTGACTGCAGATTATCTTGTTATGGAGCAAAATTAAAGAATGAGGATGAATAGGTAAATTGTAATCTTGATGTAGCAATGTTTCTGACTTCATAAACAAAATGACATTGTGAATACTAACATGAACTACTTTATATTATTCTTACACAAGGATTTTAACCATATACAATGACATATGCTTTACATGCTCAGAATACCAGAATGTAAAGCTCGTCCCTAACGTGAAAGTGAGGATACATCATTTTAAATTCACTTGCATTTAGAATATGCCAATTGTAATGCAAAATTTAGGTCTACATTTCCAGCAAAGTGCATTAATAAGACATTTAAATCCTTGCTAAGATGCCGTTTTAGCGGAAAAGCTAAGATTCAGTCTTAGGGAAAAAAACCCCACAGATATAAATATCTAAAAGAGATAATAACAAATATTGGAAAAAGACAAAGTGTATGAGGAGAGGAGAAAACAGGCAGAGCCAGGGCCATTAAGCTGCTATTTTGCTGTAAAAGTCTTGTCTGACACTTCCATCTTCTTCTATCTTTTAATTAAACATAATTTAAATACACAGACTCCCTGAATGCAAGTTCTTTTTAGAAGAAACATTAGGTTAAATAACTCTGTGCTAAAACCCACTAAAATAATCAAAACCAAGCATTGATTTCCAGACAGTCTCACAAGAGAGATAACAGAGCACATACCTTTCACAGAGAAACAAATCAAAATTAGAGCAAATGCACATACATAGTGTGAATTTAATTATACTTCAGCTGAGGAGTTAAGATTTAAATTAATACAGCTGTTAGCTTTTCCTCACATAATGTACTAGCTTAAAAGTCTAAGATGAGCAAAATAGAGTTGAAATATTTCTTTAAAATACCAGCGAATGCTTCTTTCTTGAACTCAATTCAAAGGTAGTCTGATAAAGCATCTCCACAAAATTTTTCAAACATGGCACATTCACTTCATTTTTAACAGCCTATTAAAAAAAAATACACACATAAATGGGTTTAAAAGTTTATACAGAAGGCAATTTAAGTATACATTAAGATGTTCATGAATTCAAGAAGATTCAAAAGTCAAATCTCGCATTAAGTATTTGAGTGTATTTATCCAAAATACAAAATGAAGCATAAGAAATCATGGCATACACTACAACCATACAGTTAAAAAACCAAAACAACCCCAAAACCCATTAAAAAACGCTATTTTAAGAATGTGGCCTGTATTCCATACTTAAAGAAGAAAAAGTATTTGCCACCAACTAACAAATAAGAACTACACTGAAACTCTTTAAAAGCATAACTTCATGTATTTAAAAAAATAACATCCACAACTTTTTCACTGTTCCCCTCTTCAATGCTCCCCTTTTCTTTTATGTCTTCCAGTTCTGAAAACTGGAAACTTAGGAAATGATACACAGGATTACCAGCCAACCAACCATGTGAGTAGTCTTTGTTCAGCTTTCAGAATTAATGAAACAGATACATGGAGCCCTACATCTTTTTTACCCACTCTGTCCTTGCATACAGAATAGCCTTCCTTCCACAAAGCAGGCAGCCACCTTCTTCGTCAAAACCCCTGCAAGACTCTTAGGCTTCTCTCTGGATCCCCATGACAATCCATTTAAACATTATTCTCAACCTACTGTTTTATACTGTGTTTCTGCTTTATTTATCAAATTGGGGGGTGGGGTGTTGGAGAGGGGGTTGGCTTTTCTGGAAGATATCCTCTATACTCATAA